GGGAGTTGAAGTCCACAAGTCTTAAAGCTGTCAAGTTTGAAGACCCCCTAAACATAGCATCAAGTTTTCGAAGATTGAGCCAGAATCTTTGTCTCACACCTTGGCAGGTGGTCCTTCGATTTTATTTTGCTGATTTATTTCCAGGTAGACTTTAACTTACATTATTTTATTTATTATTTTATTTTATTATCTATTATTTTGTTTTATTAATATTAATATTACTTTATTTTATTCTATTTTCATTTTCTTTTTCATTCTCTTTATTTTTTTCTTCTCTTCACATCAATTGAAGGACTCAGGAGAGAGAAAAAAGAGGATGTTTCAATGCATATATTACACTAAAGCAGGTTTTTATTTCAATTGTGGCCAATTTAAGATGACTGGACTTAACTCCCAGCATTTCCCAGCGAGGGGAATGCTGGGAGTTGAAGTCCACCCATCTTAAAGTTTCCAAAAACGGTGCTGTGGATACCAGATTTAGCAGCATGGCCAATGTAGAGGTTCTAAGGGCTCACCTTTGACCTCAGCAACGGAATGAACCCTATTGGTCGGGGATTCGGTTAAGGGAAAGGGCACCAAGCGGTGATCTTTCTGCACAAGTATTTATTGCATTCTATTTTATACTAGCTGGATACCCGTGCTTCGCTAAGAAACTATGTGGTTGGGCGTAGTTTTTAGGGAGGAAAATAGAGGGGGGGGGATTCTGCCTCTGCCTACCGGTATTCATCTGGCTAGTGTCCTGTCAGTGTGTGAGAGAGTTGGGGGCTGCTTGGAAACTGAAAGAATATTTGCCGCGTGAGCAAAGAGACAGCAAGGAGCCTGGGTATGGCTTAGCTCAACTGTTCTGTACTAAAGCTGTTTGGTGCTGTGAAACTGAAACGGAAACTCCTCTCCTCTGCTTGTGTTTTTTTGCATTTGGACGATATTTCTTCTCAGGTGGGGGAGGGGGAGTAGAAATCCTTAGCATCAGAGCGTGTTAATAAATAATAATAGAGGAAATATTCTAAATGCTCTGATGGTCATTTCGAAAAATCCTTTCTTAGCGAGCCCCTAGAAGCCGAGAGGAACATAATGTGCCAACTTTCAAGTTTGTAGACTTCACAGTTCTGGAGATTTTGTGATGATGTGTGAGGGGCCTTTCGCTTTTGTATAGAGAGATTATTATTATTTATTCTAACTTTGTGAATTATTTTTTACCTCTTCCCTTGTAGGCCTTTTGTATGGAATGATTGCTCCTGAGTGAGGCCACTCGCCCCCCCCCCCCCCCCCGGCCGTTACGAAAAAAGGTTCCGTTTTCGCCGGCAAGCTCCCCCCTACACCCCTCCTGGGATTTATAGCATTTTAGCGCTATTATTTCTGCCGAGGCCTGTGTTATTTCTGCCGAGGCCTGTGTTCTAGAAGCAGGCATGAGCACCGGGTGTGAATCCAGCCAGAACGGCGGGGGCGGGAACAGCAGCGACAGCTCCGGTGCCCCCCGCAGGGCACGGGCTCCTCGCGGGAGCGACGCCCAGGGCCAGGCCACCGTCGACATGGACGTCAACAGCAACGGCTCCAGTGGCAATGAGTCCCACGGGGATTCACACAGCAGCGGCAACGGGAAGGACTCGGCTCTCCTGGACACCACCGAGAGCAACAAGAGGTAGGAAGGGGTTAATCCTCGTCTTAACAACCAGAATGAACTTCTGTCGCTAAGCAAGGCGGTTTTTAAGTGAGTTGCGCCCGATTTTACGGCCTTGGTTGTGGGGTTTTTTTTTTTTTTTTGTGCCATGGTCGTTAAGTGAAGCCCGGAGGTTGTTAAATGAATTATGCGGTCATTAAATGAATCCGGCTTCCTCCCTTGATGGAAGCTGGCTGGGAATGTCACAAGTGGCGGTCAGGGGGCCAGAGGACACCGCAACAAATTTTTAATGTGCCCGCATTTTAATCACATGACTGGGGAACGCTGTAAATGGTCACAAGTGTGAAGACTGGTCGTTAAATCAATTTTTCCCACTGCTTTTGTAAGCTTGGACGGTCACTCAATGAGGGGTTGTAAGTTTAGGGCTACCTATAAAGCCTTGGGTCATTAGAAGGTCATCAGGGTCATCCCAGAATTGGATGTTACATGTAGTCCTCAACTTACGACCGTTTGTTTAGCCGCCGTTGCAAGTTGCGACAGTGCTTGGAAAAGGGGCCTTGACAACCTGTCCTTGCACGTGACCGGCGGTCAGAGGATCGCGACTTTCCCAGCCTGGGTCCAACAAGCCGAGTCAGTGGAGGAGATCTGGATTCACTTAACGACCATGTGACTTGCTTAACAACCGCGGCAAAAAAAAAGTTGTAAAATCAGGCACGGTCCTGCGTAAGGACTCATTTAACGACCTGCTTGCTTAGTAACGGGAGCCCTGCTTCCAATTGTCGTAAGTCGAGGACTGGACCTTGAGTTTGACACTCTGGTATACAGGATTGGGTTTTTTCCCCCCTAATATCTAAACCAGCCCCCCCCCCTTCTCTCCTCAGCTCCAATTCGCAGAGTCCGTCCCCTCCCAGCAGCTCCATCGCCTACAGCCTTTTGAGTGCTAGCTCAGAGCAGGACAACCCCTCCACCAGCGGCTGCAGGTAAGCTGGGATGTGCAGGTAAGGCCTCCCCAGGTGTGCAGAACGCACCTGCAGGTGTGCAACGCAACTCTGGAGAATGGACGGCACGGGAACGTTTAGTAGGCAGAGAGAGCAAAGCGGGGGAAAAAAAATCTTGAATGTTATCTCCTTGCCTCTTGGAACTCTTTGCTTCCTCTCTAAGGAAGTAAATAAGAATATGGACTTTTTTACTCCAAGGAAGTAAATAAGAATATGGACTTTACTCCAAGGAAGTAAGTAAAAATATGGACATTTTTACTCCAAGGAAGTAAGTAAAAATATGGACTTTACTCCAAGGAAGTAAGTAAAAATATGGACTTTTTTACTCCAAGGAAGTAAGTAAAAATATGGACTTTTTTACTCCAAGGAAGTAAATAAGAATATGGACTTTACTCCAAGGAAGTAAATAAGAATATGGACTTTACTCCAAGTAAAGGAGTTGGAGCCCAGAGGTCATAAAGGGGCCATAGGTACCTACCCCTGTTGTAGAAGAATATAAAGATAATTGGGGAAAGGATGGGTAATGATATGAGAACCATTTGACTGGGATTGTATAAGGGTACCTTCTATCTTGAGCAAAGGGGTGGACTAGAAGATCTCTAGGGTCCCAACCCTATGATTCTATGTTAAATGACGAGATGATATAGCAGCATGAAGGAACAGAGCAAAAGGGATATTTATTGCAAGCTACTGGATCAAGATTAATTTTTTTTGTTTTTAGTTCATTGGTGGATTTGCCACCCATTAAAGAAGCAAGTAACTTTTGGTTCAATAATAGTATAGACAATTAAAATAGAAATATTGAAACCGAGAGCATTAACATTAAAAAAGGAACAACAAACTGCAGCTAATCCTCGGCTTAGCCGTCGTGCGATGGTCTAGAGGTGGACTTCTCGTCTCACTATTCGGAGGCTGTGAGTTCAGTCCTAGGTAGAGGCAGATATTTTCTCTCTCTCTGGGCATCCTGAGAATATATATGCGGAACAAAACTCCGCACTGGTGACATGAAAGGCATCCGGCCCTTAAAAAAAAAACACTCTGTTAGCTCCATTTTGTTGCCCAGACTCCACCCCGCAAGGGGTTATAGGGTCATTAAAAGATGACAAGGACGATTGCATGACACAGAGAAAACAACACAGTCTAGTTAGGATGTAGTAGATGACCGGTCTCTCGTCCTTTGTCCCTCTAGCAGTGAGCAGTCGGCCCGCGTGAAGACGCAGAAGGAGCTGATGAAAGCCCTCAAAGAGATGAAGATTTGTCTGCCCTCCGAGAAACGCAGCAAGGGGAAATCAGGCACTCTGGCCACCCTCCAGTATGCCCTCTCCTGCGTGAAGCAGGTCCAAGGTGGGTCCTTTGCCAAGGGGGGGGGGTGTGTGGCATTGCCAGCGGGGAGGGACGGCTTGACCGGCTGCTTTAGAAAGAATTGGACAGCCTGAACTGACTTGTGTTTTCTCTTTGCATGGAGCAAAGCGTTTCAAAGTCTTAAGTGATTTTCAACCTGAGGTGCTTTTAAGGACATGGGGACTTCAATTCCCAGAATTCCCCAGCCGTAACTCTGGGAAGTCCATACTGTTTAAAGCACACTGGCTGGGGAATTCTGGGTGTCGAAGTCCAACCGTTCGTATTAAAGCAGCCTGGCTGGAAAATTATAGGAGTTGAAGTACATCCATTTTAAAGCATGCTGACTCGGGAGTTCTGGGAATTGAAGTCCCGTCCATTTTAAATCAAGCTGACTCGGGAGTTCTGGGAGTTGAAGTTCATGTTAAAGCAGGCTGGCTGAGGAATTCTGGGAATTGAAGTCCACCCATCTTAAATCAAACTTGACCAGGGAATTCTCAGGCTTGAAGTCCATCCATTTTAAAGCAGGCTGGCTGAGGAATTCTAGGAGTTGAAGTCCTTATCTTAAAGCACACTGGCTGGGGGATTCTGGGAGTTGGAGTCCACCCACCTTCAAGTCACCTAGTTGAGGAACACTAGGAGAGGCCTAGTGACTTATAGGGAACCGCCAGCCTTTCCCAAGTGACCCGCAACCTCACACCACAAGGGCCTTATGTGTCATGCTGCATCGGGGGGGGGGGGGGGGGGAGCTCCCCAGAGTGGAGGATGGGTTATTTTCTCCTTGGAAAATGGAGGCCCAGGCGAAGGCCGATAGCGAGATGGGGCAGCCTATCCATTTAATAAATGCATATCCTCACGCTGATCTACTCTTCCTGTTCTTCTTTCGCCGTTTAGCGAGCCAGGATTATTACCAGCAGTGGAGCATTGACGACAGCCAGACCTGCAGCCTGGATATGTCCACCTACACCATTGAGGAGCTGGAGAACATCACGTCTGAATACACCCTCAAAAACCCTGTGAGTCAGGGCTGCCTTGGGCTTTCTTCCCCAAGGACACGCAGTCCTGGCTTAGGGACCGTTGCAATGGCATCGGGGGTGGGGGGGGGGGAGAGAAGCAACTCGGGACCCATTTTTTGCACAATCTCTGGGGCAAACGGACTCATAGTTACGATGGTTGCAGCATTCCCTTCTGCGTCCGTCGTGACAATCCAAAGTCCTTAGGGAAGCCATGCTCGCTTAACGACCATGGTGATTCCCTTCACAACCGCAGCAACAACAGCAAAAAGGTGAAATCAGGAGCCCATTACTGGATGACAGGTCTCTTAGTGACTAGAAGTTCTGGTCCTAATTCTGGCCATAAATCAAGGACTCTTTGAGGCAAACCTCCCCTGGAACTCCTTCCCCGAAACCTCTCATCACTCGTTCCTGTCCATTCCACCATCTTTGATGAGAGTTGGGTGTGGCGCCACAACAGAGTTGTGAGTCCAAAACTTGGGGGACTTCCACTCACGGCAGGATGGTGTTGTGGCAATCTAGAGTTCTCCCCCATTTTTGTTTCTTTTCCTCTTGAGGTCAACTTTTGACCGTTTCCCACTGCTATGTCTTCAGATCAGGCATCCCAAGCAAGGCACGAGGTTTGGGGCTGATCTTTAACTGATTTTGTGGCCTCTAAATATGCTGGACTCCAGTCCCATCCTCCCCAACCAGCAGACTTGGCCATTTTACGATTTGTGGACTTCAACTCCCAGAATTCCCCAACCGGTTCTTTTGTTTCACTTTGCTGAAGTCAAGATATATTACATTTA